GCTCAGAGAAATTGAATCTCAACTGTCTCAGCTGAAATTGAGCAGAGTACTGCATAGCTGGAGTCTTAAGTGCATCTTGAAGAGCTTTTACAAACGCATTATACTCATTAATGTCTTGATCTAACGTATTAGCCAGAGCTAAAAGTTCATGAGCAAGTGCTTTCTTAAAGCATCTAAGTCTAGTACTGTCGTCTACGTTCTCTTGAGAGAGTCTCTGTATTGTTTTTGCAATAAATTCAGTGGCGTCTTCACCTTTCTGAAACTCAGTTACAGGGGGATCTGGTTTCAAATTGGTTAAAGCTTGTAAAAGGAAATGTGAATCATTCGGATTGATAGTATGGCTTGAGGAAGGAGGACGAGGAGGATGTTCAATATTGGGTTGAGGTACCGGATTTGGAGGTGGTTGAGGTATTGGTTGAGGGGGCATTTCAAAGTTTGCACCAAGAGATTGTAAAATTTCAATAAATCTTCGTATATTACCAAGAGGTATGGGCAATGAATTTATTTCATTCAAATTTGATCTTAAGATCGTATCTCTTTCACGTCCTATGGAACGGATGATTGTTTGAATCTCTTCTTCGGTAAAACCTCTGTTTCGGCATGCTTGAATCCAATCAGGGACAGTAACAGCAGTTAAGGCAGTGACTGGTAAACACTCTACGTCAGCTTCGATCATGTCTTCACCTGAACAGAGCATGTGAGTGCGAGTACAATCAAGCAGCTTTTTTCTTGCCAAACATGGTACAGGAACATTGACTTGCCAACCAGTTAGAATTTCTATAATTTCAGCATCTTCTAGTTCATGGACAATTTGCACATCGGGTGGAACACCGAATCGTCTTCTTCTGGTTACATTTGCCATAATAAGGGATGAATGAGATCACTTGAGTGATGGAGTTAGAACAAAGTTTTTTGAGAAGTTGAAAGTTTGTTGAATAAGGTTTATTGTTCTTGAAATTTGTTTCTTTGAGGAATAGAGTTAGTGTTGAGAACCACAAATTTTGATGAACACACAGGAGAACCTTTGAGGGTTGAGTCTGATCACAGAATTAGGATTTGAGAATTTGACGAATTTTGTTTAATTTGTTGAAGTTGAATTCTGAAGAACTGAGAACAGGCACACGCACGTTGAAGACGTACTTTAGAACTGAAGGTCACTGAATGACACCAAGAAATGTGGTTGAACACAGCAGAATGAGAAGGCACGGACAAACAAAGCGATCCTGCCGTGGTCGCCAAGTGAAAGGTTCGGTTTGGTAATTTGGGGAGAAGACTGCACTCTTGCTTTCACTACAAGATTGAAATTCGTATCTAGGATCACTTTATAGCGTTTGAATGCTTTCACAATCTACTATGAATTTGAGATCTCATTAGAGATGGTTAACACTAATTTAGGGTTAAAGAAACTTTTTGAGTTTAAGGAACTTTATTAGAAGTTTATAAGAATAAGGAATATAAGTTTAGCTCCTATGAAGGAGGATCGCAAAGTCTAAGAAGACTAGGGTGACTTGAACAGAGTTAAGAATACTGGTAAGACGTGAGTCTTGATAATATGAATATTCAAGTAAGTTAAATGAAAAGATGAATTAGCTTTTTATAGCAAGCTAAGACAAAAGAATACAATTTGGAGGGAACAATTGTGAGGGTCAAGATTTTCTCTTTCTATGTTTGTCGCAGATTGGTAATGTACCAAGATGACTAAGATATCTTTATCTTAATTGAGGCTTGATTAAGCTATTGTAGCCTTTACCTAAGTAAATGTCTGGGGACATAAACTGTTGAATGATATCTCGTGAGAGATGCTTCTAGCCTTATCAATGCTAAGGGATTAAAACATCTAGATGATGTACAGTTGAAATTGATGTTAAAAAAGAAAGGGAATTTACACTCTCTTTCTAAATGGCACATAAATTTGCAATCTTAATTTCTTGGTTAAAATAAGCCTAAATTGGTGGATATCTTAAAAGAGATAAATCTGTTGCCTGAACTGAACAGAATAAGTAAAATTCAGAAGCACTAATCAGGGACAAACATAGTTAGGAACTTAAGAAAGTTTAAGATATAATTTGAATTATAATAAAAACAATGAAATGAATGAATTAAAAGTAAGAAATAAGATCAATTTGAATCTAAGATTCGAGTTAAGAAGGATTCATTGAATCATTTCAAGAAGCACGAAATCTACCCTTCAACTTTTGAGGTGAAATTTTCTTTCCATTCTTTCCATTGAATTTTCCCTCGTTTATTATTAAAGCATTGCATCAACATTTAGATTTTGAAGTTTTGCATGGAAATTTTGTTCAATTTTCTTTCTTCGCCACTCTTTTCCTCGTTTCACTTTTCGTATTCATTTTGCTTTCCATTCAACTCATTGAGATTGATTGTGATGAGAAGCAAAATGAAAACTATTTCAAGTGGTTTCTTCTTTATTCAGTTTATTTGCTTCATCAAGCTTCGTTTTTTGATTCAATGAACTAAACAAGATGAGAAAAGGTGAAAAATATTTTCAATTTGGATTCTCGCTATTTAATGCAGTTTCAGTAAACCCAAGAAAACACAATTTTCACGCAATTTCGTTTCAATCTTTCAATCTCTTTTTTTCCATCGCTTCTTCTTCTTCTTGTTCAACCCATTTTCAATTCTTTATGCAATGGCCAATGCTTAAAGTTATTGTCATCATTTTTTTTCGCTCCTCATCTTTTTTTCAATCTTCATTGCAGCACCTTCTTACCTTCATCATTTACCATCATTTTCATTTTCATCTTTTCTTTATTGCAAGTTAACCAGATAACAAAAGAAGATGAAAAAAAAGAATAACCACCAAATAGAAAGGTAAAAGTGAAAGTTGAACAAGTGAAGAATAGAGAAAAAAAAATATTCTTTTGCCTGATTCTTCAGGTAAAGAGTGAAAGTGAAATGGAAGAAAAAAAAGTGAGAGAAAATTTCCATTAAAAAACCATTGATAGAGAAGCAGAAAGATGGTTAAAAATAACATTCTCATCCCTTAAAATTCATTATTATTCTGTAAACTTTTTACCCTTGACATGGTGATGTTACCAGAACTATATCCATGAGAACAAGGGAAAATAATGAGAAATTCAATGATAATAATGATAATAGTGAAATGATGAAGATGAAGATGGAACAAAAAGTTTAGTTTATTTTCAGTTTTCACTTTTTCACCTTTCATTTGTTATTGTTATTAATATGAACACAATCATATTTACCATTGTCTGCCCAACTTGCAATGATATTATTAAAATCAAGTTTTTCAATTTAATAATTTTGAAAGCTTCGAAATAAAAGTTCTAATATTTTTTGTAATCAATCTAAGCATTTATCTATTTGAAATGAGTAAAATTTTTTCCATGTAAACATGAGGATGAAGAGGATAGAGAATGAAAAGAGATGATTGTAATTTTTCATTTTCTAGTTCAATCATCGCAAGTAATTAAGGATTTAAGTAAATAAAAATGAGGATAAAGATTGTTTTCTTCTCGTAACAAAGTATTAATCCCATGTATGACGATGATGATGATGGATATAGCAGGCTAATCATCTCTGTTTGTGTTAACTGATCAAGAACTGTAGACTGCTTAAAACCATTTTTTGTTTACATTTTGTTTTCTGTTGAAAATGCATCAAACAAAAACTAATCTTTTAATTATAAACTAAACACTGAAATACATCATTGTTATATTTAGATTGAGACTGTGTTGGTTTGCAGGTTAATTGAGAAGCGTTCACTTTAACCGAATCAAATAATCAATAGAAACAATTATTTAGCAAAAGTTTTTATTTTAAGTTTTCTTACAATACATGAAATTGTTAAAGGTTGACTTTATTACCACCAAGCTCCAAATTATGAGAAAAACGACCATCAAGGTTGGATTTGTCATTTTCATTTATCTTTATTGCCGACGTAGACACAATATCTAGGTCGAGGACCTGGAGGTAGATTGTTTTCCTTTTTATATTGTCGGATAATATTTGCCACCGATGATTGACTCACTTTCAAAGTTTGGCTGATGAATGTTGGTCCTTTGTCTTGATTCCAGTATAAATCAATTATTATATTCTTCACTGATTCACAGATTTTTGGATGTTTTTTTCCTGGGGTACACATGGTTATATTGAACTGGTAAATGGAGTTGAAACTTGAAAAGACAGAAACTTAATAATTTTTTGTCAAACTTTGCTGCCCTTTTATACAAATTGCCAATCCAGTCCGAAAATAAAGGAGATTAAATTTGAAAACCTGAGGCAGTTGCAGCGCGCTAAAGCCTAAAAGCCAAATTCAGAATAGCTAAAAGCTTAAAAAAGCCAAATCAAAGCTAAATTAAAGCTAAAAATCTATGGAAAGGTTTAATTGGAGTTTCAAAACCCCTTGATTTGCTTGCTACTCAATTTTTGTTTCTACTTATTATTTAATAAACTCAGTTTATTTGTGAATGAAAATGCGTTTATCATTGATAAAAAATATAATACGATAAAATACGATATGATGAATAACTGAGGGTTTAATAATTTCAACAATCCTGCTTGAGTTTAAAAACAAAAGCAACGACAAATTCCTACATTAACTTAAAAGAGTTTATCCATAAAGGGTTTAGCTATTTTGACCCTCAAGCGACTATGTAACTGAATTGGTCAGTTTCATTTTCTTGATCCAAATTCTCAATAAATTGAAATAAAAATTGAAAAACAAAAATATTTAACTATTTCGAGTGCTGCTCGCCTTATCTAAACCTTTCAATATCAATGAAATGTAAATAAACTTATAATGACACATGAGTTTGACAAGGATTTTGCCAAAATAAGTACCTTTGAGTAATTTTAGGTTAATGGAAAGGATTAATTTAAGTAATAATAATCCGATCAGCATTGCTTCTTGAATCAAATTTGATCGAATTTGCTAACAATTGTGGTTCAAATGTTTCTTGTGTATTGACTAATTTTTACGCCTTTTATTGTCTTTTATTTATTACCTATAAAATTAGACGTTGAACTTGTCAAGCGTTGATTCCATTCGAGTATCACTTTCCAAAAATGAGACCAACACTTATAACTTACTTCCTGAAGAAGCTTACTGTTCCGCTTTGGATATAAACTGCAGCGATTCCGAGCCTCGTTTCCCTTGGCAAAGAGACGTTGCCATTCAGTGCAACTACGGTGATCCTGTGGCCAAAAAGCATGCCAACCTTTCAAGATCAAGTGAAGTTACCACCTCATCTTCAACTGTTAAAAAACGTCCACCACATTCACTTACTCCCACTGGACCCTTGGGTGGTGGACTGTTTGGACTTGGCATCACAAGTGGCAGTAGTGCTGCTGCTGGTAGTGCAGGGATTGGTGGTGGCAGTGCTGGAGGTTCCATTTCACCTTCATCGGGTTCATCCAATCTCGATCAAGTGCAAAAGAAACATTCAGGTCTTTCAACTTTAACGTCAAACTTGCGCTTCTGGAAAAGCTCTTCTCCTCTCTCGTCAACTGGAGAAATTGAAAAGAAACCTTCGACCCGTAAACGCTTGACTCGATCAGCGTTACACAGAGCAGCTTCATTTGATTCCAAAGGATATTCTCGACTGATTCAACAGGCTTCCATCGATTCACCGACAACCGCACATCCCAACGTTTTATCACACGACCATCTTGCAGTGCCTAACGCAACTCCCGGTTTATCCCTTTCCTCGTCTCCATCGTCCGATGAAAATGTGTCCAACTCCATTCTTCACGAGTCAAACTTTCACTCAACTCGATTGGAAGGTGTCCTCGAGCCCGAAGACGGAGCAGAAAATGATGAAGATGAAGACGAGGAAGAAACAGAAGAAGAAAATGATAGTGATGATGACCGTAACAAAGAGATTTATAAACATGCCGAGATAAGGTTTACCTTTTCAGGGCCCGGAGCTTATCAAACAGGGTCAACATCAGCCCCACAATCACGTTCATCGTCACCACCAAGAGATTTGATTGATGAAAAAAGAGGTTAGTAAACTGATAATCATTCGTCCGAGAAAACAATTGATTTCCTTCCAACAACATTCATCAATATTGTCACTATTGAACGATTCATCAACTAACAAGATTAGCGTAAAAAAGCAAACACGTAAACAGATATCGAGATTAGATGCAAAAAGTTCACATCAAACATGATGCTAGTTACTCGTCAACATGGAAAACTAAATTTCTATCACTTTTTTGTCATTTATTCCTATTCGTAAAAGTATCAGTTGTTGTTGAAGCTGCAGATGAAAACTAATTTTATCACATCTGTTGATGAACCCAAAAAATTCTAGCTGCAAACTCAGGTAATAGATTTTTTATCGATTTTTTTATGATTGCTTTAAATTTATTTGATTGCAATTGAATTGGTCAATTTGTGCAAACTGAATCATCCATAGTTTGCAATTTAAATGCTCTTTTCCATTTTTTAATATTTTCCATTGAATTAACTCTTTTACAATGTCAACAAATTGTTTGATCAACTCAATTTCCATTGTTATCCACTTTACCTTCTATCGGAAGCAAAAGATGTGAAACTGTCCATTTCAATTGATATACAATTGCTTTCTGTTTAGACACTTGAATTCTTTTCATTGTTGCCACTCTTGTTGTTGATTGACCACCAAACAACGAGAGAAAAGGTTTAGTTGATAATAGCTATCATTGTCTTGCAGTTTGTCAAGAAGGTAACAATGATGAATGTGTAAGCTACTCAAGTATCCATTCAAGTTGAGATAAATTTCAAAACCTTGGATATCATGAGAAGTGTTTCAATGACAGACACCAGCTCATCATTGGACAGGCAAAGAAAAGTAGAGATTAATTTGTACCCTTTCATTTCAAGGGATTCAAACGAAATTCAATCGCCAAAAATAAAATAAAATGTCATCTAATCCAGTAAAAGTTAATCTAACCTCAAACAAGTTTTCATTATTGTAACCCAATTCCAACTTTGCTTTGAGCGATATCATTTTATTCAATCAACTCTATCTTTTCCAGATTACTAACTGATTTTATGCAATTTTTTCCAACAAAAGCCAAGATTTATTAACAAAGATAATAATTTTTTTAGAGAAAAATTCGTTGATTTTTCAACAATATTATAATCTAGTCACAACCATCAACCAAACGTCAAAAGTTGACGCTCTTAGTAAGACACCTAGAAATTTCATTTGAAGGTCAAATAACGGAATGCATTTATGATTCTTCCATTTGAGGAGTTCTACTGACTGTATTTCATCGCGATCTGACTCTTGGTTCTCGAGTTATTAGCACAAAAGGGCATAAAACATAAGAAATTAATATTGTGTAGCGAATGAGAAATTATTCGTTGCAATTAGATGACCTCCATTGATGTCGGAACGAATAAACGTGAACGAATGAATGAACGCCAAAAATGTTTTAATAAAATTTTACATAATTAGTTAGGCATCAGAACTTTTTCCCTTTCTCAATTTCGATTCAATTACTGAGTCTATTTGAGTCAAACACTAAGATTGGCTTGTCAAGCGCAGATAATAAATAGCTAGACTTTGATTCAATTTTAAAAGGACTTTTTTGTGTAAAAATTGTAACTTAACGGAAAGGGTTCGAAGGTCATTTTCTGAAATCGCAAAATTTTTCTGACTCGATAGTGTTAGTCACAAATTCATAACTCATACCATTGAAAAGATAAAGGAATTTTCCTGAATGCGATTGAATAAGTAAATGGTATGCGAACACTCATATCCTTTAGCCAGTATGGGTTATGAACATATAACTAACACTATCGGGTCAGAAAAGTTTTGCGATTGCAGGAAATGACCTTCCAATGTCAATTAGAGGTCAAATAATGAAGTGACCTTGAATAACCTCTAGCGAGGTAGAGAGATTTTTACCAGGAATGTTGATGAAATCAAGCGATGGCTAAACGCAACAGGAGCTGAGTCATACATAGTGGAAGTGGAGATACCGAGAAGTGCGTTTATCACCAGATCTGGGCAAGAGACGTTAACCAATGGATATTGATTAAAGTGAATTTTTTCCTGTACTTCATCTTCTCCTCACCATTGTTAACAGCATTCAGTTGAACCGTTATTGATACATAATATTTATTATCATCTAATAATAAAAGTTCAATTGTTCCGCAAGTTGTTTCAGTTTTAGTTTTCACTTCCTAATTCATTGTTGGCTGCGTCATGTTTATTCAAACTATCATCATAAAGATGCTAAATCTATTCTAAGGACAAAAGTTTTGAACATCAGGTGAATGGTCAGAGGTTGGGTTGACGCTTCCAAGTCAAAGAAATTTGCTTGAAGGGCTCCAATGATGGCGAGGATGAAGAAGAAGGTTAAGAAGGGTAAATATTGTTAGGCTTTTTGGCGATGAATTTGCATGGATCTGTTATTTTTTGCACAGAAAGTGAAAAGCATTACAAATTAGTGCAATTTTTAATTATTTTGATTTCTGTTTTTAGTCTATTCAACTTTCCCTCATCAATTGTTAACACTATCATCATTATTATTTATCGCTATACAGTTTCAATTCAACTGTAAGTTTGCTTTTGTATTACTGTAAATGTAAGTCATTGTTGATAACTCAAAATTCAAGTGAAATTCTGCAACTTAAAATTAAAATGAACTTTTAATTCTCATCGTGAGAAAATAGTTCAGCAAACGGAAGTTCTCTTAATTATACACTCTTGATTATGTTAAATGACAGCAAGATTATATGAGTTGTCAGGTAAATGAATAAAGAAGCAAAATTAATGTTGACATTATCTGAATGTTTTTTCTTGGTTGAAGTGAAAAATTGACATGAAATGACAAGATCAACAAATGGTTTTAAAATTCACTGAATATTGTACAAAATCTAGTTTTCAAGCGAACTTTTATACGGCAAAATTTTCTTCATTTCTTTCTTTAAATTTTCATTTTTCCATGTTTACCTGATGATATTGATTTTTGAAGTGAATAAAAATGATAAGAAGAAAATTGTTTTCAAATTTTTTCCTTTTCCTCCTTACTTTTATTCATCAACATCATCTTGTGTAAATGGTGAAAAATATAACAAAAAAAGACAAGGAAATGTGAGACAAAAAAGATGAAAGTTGCTATCAACACTTTGACAAAATGTAAAGAAAAGAAAAATGAATGAATGAAAAATTCTGAGAAGAGCTTTTTTCCAAGGCTTCCGGTGATTTTGATGTAATTTTTTTATATTTGCATGAAAGAATAGATGAAATGATAAAATGGAAAACATTGATGAAGATGTTTAAAGATGGTTTATTCAATATTTTTTAACTTTTGGTAAAGACAAATTATAAGCAACAATTTGAGCAAAGTTTTGATGCAATTTTACTCAAATTGATTCGCTTTTGAAATGAGATTTTGTTTTCTTCGAGAAATGTGACTCTCATCTGGAAACGATTCAATTTTGCAAATGTCATTATGCAAATGAAACAACCTTTCCTTTCAATTGTTGCCATCATTATTTACCTTGCTTGTTCAACACTTTTTTTGTGTACATTCATGATAAACTGAAAACTAAGATTCATTGCTTTATGATTCTTTACCCATTCAAAGCATTTAAATATTCATTTTCAGTTTTCAAAACACTTTTCTGGATGCAACATGCTAACCTGTCTTAACCATGGTTAGACATTTTTTTTGCTAATTTCATGCACTTTCATGGAAGTTAAATTAATCTGAAAAATAAATAAAAAACTCAATTTGCAAGAAAACTTGCAGTCGAGTAAATAATTTTGGAAAAATGAGATTAACTTGAAGAGCTGTTTATCGAAAGATGTTGATTGATTTCACTCTCATGTTAATTGCTAAAAGTTGGAACACTTACTTTGGTTGTCTAAACAGCTCCGTAACTGAGAGTTTGAATTTTGTCTTAGTTTTCAACTTTTCGAATGATTATTCTAAGAATTTTGAGATTGCATGTTGCGAGTTTCAATTAAGGTTGATTGTATGATTTGCATGAATTTGGTTGCCAATAGCCGCAGAAGCATCTGTTGAATTTCATTATTCATACAATTATCATTTGCTGCATTTGCCTTGAGCATTATATTTAGTCGTTTATGTCTTCTTCATGCCCTTTAAGTTCAAGTCCTTTTTGGTTCAATTGTACGCAAGTTTCAAGGTGAATCAAGATGGGTGATCAGACTGGAAAAGTTGGAAAAGGCAATTCATTTTTAAACTTCAACTTGAATAAAATTTATGATTACTCCTTTGCAACATTTAAAATGTTTAGTTGTTCTGTTTAATCCGCGAGTTTTCAATAAATTTTTCATATTCAAATTTACTATTCTGTATATGGTGATAAATGGTGATATTTAATACAAAGAGAATGATGAATATTAAATTCAACAAGTGCAGGAAAGGGAAAGTGAAAGCAAACTGAATAAAACTAAATTGAATATACTTTCTTTATTCTATCATTATTTGCCTTCAGGAAGTTTTAACTCGCAATAAAACAAAAGAAACAATCAGAATTGATTTTGTAATGATTATAAACGGAACAAATAGAAATGAAAAGAAACTAAGGAATCAAGGACAAAAGGCAAAAATATAAGCTTAAAAAGTAGTAACAGCGAGTCTATGCAAGACGGTCCATGTGAATCGTTCATTAATCGATAGCGCATAACAAGAAATTAAAGACACCTTATGTTGGCATAATGGGAGTGAGAACTTTGTATACAGAATTGCAATCAATTTCAATGAAATAACAAATGAAATGGTATTTTAGTTAACCGTATTTAAACTCATCGACTGACCTGATAGTTCACTCAACTGTATGATTAAAGAACACTCTCCTCAACTCAACACGTTGTACCATCTTCTCGGTCTTCTGCTTGTAGAAACGTGTTTTCTACCCCATTCTGGAAATATTTCTTGTGCTTAGGAAACAGACAAACCTCTTGCGACGAATTGCACTATTTTGTGGAGAGAAACTCATAACTCATAAGTTAGGCACTAGATGTTTGGCATACGAGGCACCTTCAATATTCGTTTATTTCATTTAATAAAACACACGAATAAAGGACGAAAATTGGACATTTTCAGTTTATCATTGAAATATTAATTATCTTCACTTCATCTTCAAATAACTGCATAAGATTATTAATACTGGGTGTTTTTATTCTTGAAGATCGTTGTGCTAATGTCTTTCGGTCCAGGTGTCAGATCTTCAGATATTCAGGCAGAGCTCCCAAAAATTGAAGAGTAATGAATCCAGAGTCTCAAGGTCATAAATTATTCGACCTCTAATTGACTATTGTGCGTCGATATATAAAAGTTCAACCTTTTTCAGACCAATTGATATTTGTTGAAATAAATTGATTGTTAATCTCTAGAAAAAAGTTAATCAAATTACACAAAGGGTTAGGTTACCGTTTTATATGATCAACGACAATGAATATTATAGCATTATATCAATATGGTAAGTAAATGCTTTCTTCCTGCGTGCTGCATGCTGTGATGAGCGTTTATCTTAGCTTTTAATATATTATTTTTTCTTATCTTGGGCGTTTTTGCAGTTTAAGCCTTTGAACAGGCATAACTCACGGTTAGTGTTTCAAATCACAGACTTTGACCATTAGCTTCAGCAGACTCTAAAAAAAAGTTCAAACGCTCAAGTTCATTCAAGGTCAATCGGTTATTTGACCTTGAATGAATGAAATTTATCTATGAAATGATGAGAAACACTGACTGATCTTAAAAATTTTGTGCTCTCAGAAACTTTTAATGTCAATTAGAGGTCAAATAGCGAACGAAACTTCACCAGAACGATCTTACGACATTGAAAATTATCAATTAATCTTAGTTTGACCTTTAATATCGTTGAGAACGTTTTTCGAAAAATGACCTTGTCTGACTTTGTAATATAGCGATTCAGTTTTCACGATATTATATTTTTATTATTTATTAGATATATTCAAGGTTTGATGTAGCAAGCCTTTTGCTGAGTCTGCTTGAAGTTTTGTCTTGTTATCAGTGTTGAATATCATACACATTAGCTGAAAGGTTCTTTATACAATATTTTCAGATATTTTTCTAAAAATTGTTCTACAAGAATTTCGAACTATAAATTTGATATTCAGCATTGATGAGCTGTAAATTTTTTTATAAAATTCGGCTCTTCTGGTAATCATTTTCAGGTAGACTAAGAAAAATTCATGGCGTGTATAAAATTTATTATCTTAGCAAACGGCCTTAAAAGAAGATAAGAAGGTCAATTAAACCTGTAAATCGGTACCAGTTACTTCATCATTAAATGTTAGAGGTACTTTGAAACTCTATAAAAGCAGTTTTCCGTGAGTTATGGTCACAAACAGATAGGAAAATGGAAAATGCCCTGAATATTAGTAATTTACCTTTGATTTCATTATCATTTCCAGGGTTTTCTTTTCATCGGAAAATAAAGATTAACAGATGAGTTGGAACATAACGAAACAACTAGATAAACATGCTGTGATAAAAGTTCATTTCCAAACTCGAAATGAAATCCAAAGATTTATTGTTGCTTTTTTGTGATGAAAACTGCTTTTATCTCCAATAATTTGATGACCACAAAATTTCGTCCCTGTTATCATGGAACAAGATTAAAGAATGATTATCTTTAGCTGAAGATGATGGAGAAAAAAGTAATGCAATAATTTTGTGATTCACCAAAATTGATTTTCTTTGCTCCCATCATTCTGGTAAATGAAACATCTTGTTCATAAAGTCTCAATAAAATTGGATGCTGAGAAAGTGTGAAAAAAATTAACTCGAAATAATGATTCATTTGTCAATTGCAGGGAAAAAAGCTCAACAAACAAAATGATATTCTTGAAACAATGAAGAAGAAGAAATGAAAAAATTCTAAGATGAAGTAAAACGTAAACTAAAGCGTGTTATTAGCTTTTCTTTTTCACCATTAAACTAATATTATCTGTACCATGATGACCATGAGATGATCAATAAAGCAGTTATTTATCTCTTTAACTGTTCATCATGAGTTTAATATCCATTATCATCATCATTGACATGAAAGTGTATTAATATTTGTTGCTCTTCAACTGCCTCATGGAAACAATTTATCTGCAAAAATTGTGGAATTATCTTTTCCAATGAACTTTATCATGAGAATGTTTCTCACAATTTAAATTTGGTCCAAGAACAGAACTGAAAATAATACATTCTGGGAGTTAAGCTGGGAGTTGAGGCAGGGAGTGAAGACTGAGAGTAATTCTTATTTTCAATGGAATGATATTCTACAATTTTTCTAAGAAATGCAAAATGAAGAGAAATCTTTTTCTTTCATGATAAAGTCTGAGTATTCTAATTAGTGCGGCTAAATATTTCTTTTTTCAATTCGCATTAAACTGCATTTAATGAGGAAAAGTCAAATTGTTTAGATTGTTTAGATGCTTTGTGTTGCAGCTGCAACTTGTTGGTTTATTCATGAATAGTTTCATCATTAAAGTTGATATTTATGGGCTGATAAATGATGAATAAATTACCATAACCTGTGCAAACTGTTGGCAGCATGTTGAGCATAATTGTTGGTTAAATAGTTTAAAAGTAATAAGATGAAAGTGATTAAGGAAAAGTCTTGTTAATCAAAAGATTGATGGACAATTTTACCCTGAAAAGTAACAAACTTGAATTACGACGGAAAAATGAACTATCAATAGATTCCATGAAACCTGTTGATGGAGCAATTAACGATGAGATAATTGATTCGTTTTTTTTCCTCAAAAAAGCAAAACCTTTCGTTCTATTGATTTTCATTCATTTACCACCGAGACTCGAGTTGCGTATAGTTTCAGTTCTTTACAGGATAGAGACGGATTCTTGGTCAAAGTGTTACTTCAACGAATTATCTTTTATCTGTTTTATTATTTCTTAATATTTCAATTGAAAAATATCGAAAAATTGATTTTCTAAAATTGAAGTTCTTTTTCGAATCTCAATGTAACTATGCAACAGACTTACAATAAGAAGATAAATTGAATGTTTTTTATCAACGAAATGAGGATTATCTTTTTGAAATGAACATCCAAATAACGAGCTTTTCCCTCCCAGTGAGCTGGGAAGGATTATCAATTTTGCATCAAATTCTGTTGAAATGAAGCTCTAATTAAGCCTTTTCATAACTGTTAATAAATATTAATATTTAAACTTTTGTTTTCTGCAAAACTGGTCATTCATTAACATTTGTAAAACAGCAAATAAAATTCATTAATGCGATTAAATGAATAATGTTTAAACATTAAAACTGGTTAAAGATATTGGGAGAAACGCAAAAAGCTTAACTCTGATTGAAGAGAAAGGATTTTGACTAATAATTCATGATATTATGGATTAATAAAAGTTCATTTTTGGTTATCAAATTGAACTGAATTCCCGATTGAATTAAAAGCTATCAAAGTTATAATCTTTGCTGACAATCCATTTTTACCATCTAATGTTTACATTTTTTCGCAATTCAAATCGTTTCGATCATTGAAAATGAAATGAAAAGTTAATCAAGGAAAAATTCAACTTTTTCGAGTTCGTCTTGTGATGCAAACAAATTTGGTTGAGAAAAGTAAACTTGAAAAGTCGAAATTCAAGGTTCAATTGAATTTTAAAACTCAATTTGTAATTCCCAGACAAACATAACCAGACACTGGAAATAAAAGGATTTCAATTGTTTTCACTTTTGATCAAGCGAATCATCATTAATCTGAACTTTTCCCTTTCTTTGCCAACAGAGCTTCACGTAACTGGTAAAGATGTTTACATGAGTTTACCTTCACCAAATGTTCATACAGAGGTAAGTTGAAAGGGAAGGATGAATAGCGAAATTCATTCAACCTTTAATATCATTTTTCATTCTCAATTTGTATTCCTTTCTTTACTGACTTTGCTAATGAGAATCATCTTTGGGTTGGTTAAAAAAAGAGTAAATAAAAGGTAATTTTAATTAGTTTATTAATAATGATAATTTTCACAACATGGACAGAATTATCAAGAGTTAATTGAGCTTTATTCATTAAACTTTTTTTTCCTTTTCTCTCTTTTCTTGCTTCCACTTGTTCCACCATGTTGTACTCTTGTAAACAATTATGATAATCATTTTATCTCTTTAATATAATTTACTAACGAGTTGACTATTTGCTTCCATTTAAACTAATTACTTTACTGATAGTTTGGTTATAAAAAGAGTAAAAATTGCAACTTAATTGAGAAAAAACTACGAAATTAAATGCAAATGAAGCGTATTTTTAGAGATAGATTAACCCGTTAAGGATGCTATTATTTGCTGTCAATCTCTTGAGTGGAAAATAAATTAAAATATTAATTGCAAAAACTCATCAATCAGCTGTGATAAAATCATTTTATACAGCAAGTGCTTCAATAGATCAACTCCAATATTGTATCTTTTGCGATCTCAAGTCCTCCTACCAATGTTCGTGTAAAAATGTAACGACTCTGGATTATTGCTATTTCATAAAAGACATTATTTCACAGTTATTTGATATTACTCTGTATCAAGTGCTTCCAAACAAAAACATTATGATAAACAAGCCTATCTGAATGTTTGATACCCTTTTAGAAAATTTTGAGAGGAATTTTGTTAGTCCTTTCGTGCCTGATTTAGTAACAGTAATTCATGACTTTGACTCATGTTAATTGTTGGTTTTCAAGGATCAACATCATAACCTGTGTGGATAAATTATGGGACTTTTACCCATACAAATACATTATAAAAAGTCCCATAATTTATCCACACAGGTTATTATAAACTTATGTTTGCTGCAAATGACAGAAGTCTTGGAGAAGTTTATTCTAAGAGTCGAAACGAAAGGTGAAAGATTCCCCATAATAAGCGGGAAATCTGCACTCAATCTGTTTAAATGACGATTACAATAGCCTTGTTAAAATCCCGTTTCTGAACAACTTTTGCTGAGTCTAGGAGAAGCCTGTGAAGCAATAGCAACGAAGAGTTTCTCCTGGATCAAAAATTTGCTAGACCTTTAGTTTGCTCATAAACCTCGTACTTTTAACGATATAATGACCGTATCTGGAAGCAATATTGATCAATCAACTTATTTCCATCTTTACGGCGACTTAATTTTCAGTGAAAATTCACTCTGTTGCTTCTAATTATAATAATATTGACGATCGGTGCCGAAGAGTTATGCTCTTTGAGAAATGCCTTGTTCTTGATTTTATCGTCTTTACTCGCTGTTGAAAGTTGTCAAAATATCGAAAAAGTACATAAGAATAGTTTTTAAGCATCTACTAAATCAAAGCAGAGAAACAATTTGGTTTTCACACTGTTCAGAATTCATTTCATCTTTAGATTTTTCATGTTTAAAACACTTCTACGTTTAGCCTTAATTTTTCTTTCGCCTTCGTTCTACATCTAAAAAGTAAATGTTCTAGATGAAAAGAGGTCGCACTTTTGAACCTCAAGTTTACGTCAGTAATATTTCAATATTCGTTCATCACTTATGAGTTGCTCCGTTACGTAAAGAGCCTAATTTACGTTTCTACAAATGAGAAAAACAAAAGTTCTTGAAGATTAAAATATTACTCTTTGAATGAAAATAAAGCTTTATGTAATTAACATGGTTTTGTCGTTATTATTGCGTATTACAGAGAGTGTCCAATGAATTACTCGTTATTAGCAATTAATTTTTACGCAAGTGAGTAAAGTGAGCTTCTGTTGATTGATGTGTGTCATGGTGAGTGAGACAATGTGAGCCAGTAAATGACAAAAGCAACAGCAAAAAGTGAAACTCAAAGAGTAATGAGTTTTTTCACGATAATTATGATCGTTTTACAAATCAACCTTTGTGTTTACCAATAAATGTCGACAACTTTTGTACCATCAACTCTTTAAACCTTTCAACTCGAACCAAAGAAACAACAGAAAAACCTTTTCCATCATGATTATTGTCTTTCAACTTTGACATTATTCCTTGCTTTCCTTTCCTCGACATGAAACTCTACATTTTTGCAACTTCATCAATAACATCAAATGTCAACCTTTGACATCAGTAAAAAGTTGCCAACAAGGAGAAACAAAAATTTGCCAACTCGACGCAATTTTTGTCACCATTTGAAACTCATACTTTGTGCCATTTAATGTCAATTGATCAATAAAATTGTTAATTGTTGTGCTTGTGCCTTTAAACGATATCAATGATAATCAAAGTAAAAGATCAATTGACTGGGAAAGTTGATGGAAAAGTTGACCTCAAATCTCAAATGGTAGGATTACATTTCCTTTTCACACTCTTTGATTAATTGGTAAATAACATTGAAAAAAGACAAAAAACGAACCCAAAAATGAGGTAAATATTGACAGTGAGATTAGCACTTTTAATGATTGGGATTTCGAGTAAATCAAATTTTAGCTCAAGGTGTAACCAAACCTGAGACAGAACGTGAGTGAACATAAATTATCAATGATTATTCCAACAGTTAGACTCACAATTAAAAGTTGAACGCAAGAGTCAAATTCAACCTTTATTTAACTTTGTTTTGGTTCAACTGAGAGCAAGACAAAAAAAGATGAAACAATTTTCATTAAACGATTCTCTTGTTTATTATCATATTAATGGATAATGAATTGTAATCATTTTCCGGTTCAATGTGCATTTCCATGAATATGTAACATGAAACAGAATAAACGCAGATGATTTAATCTTGTTTCATCTGATAGCATTTCATTTTTAGCTTCAACACAATGAGAGTTGAAAAGGACACAAAAAATCGAGAAAATGTGAAAACCATGAAAATGAAGAGGAGAAAAAAAAGACAAAAGATGAAAAGAGAAACTCATTTTTTTTCTCTCTTCTTTCTGTTTTACTTCTGTTTCATACATCATGGATGATCGTGATCATCATTGTCATTATGATTAACTTAATTAGCTGAATCATTAGTTAGCCAACAATACAGTAAATTGGTGCAGCTCATTACATATCATTACAACAGAAATCATTTTGTTCATTAACTTCCATCTTTTGGGTTCAACCTTTCAGTTTCTTAACTAACCGAGTTTATTGCAACTTTGAATCAAATTATTGGCAATCATTTCAACTGAATTTAAATCATTTCTCATTCGAACCAATTCAAGGTTGAAATCATTCTTTGATTGCTTTTAAAGTGTCAATTTGTCTCGACAATTTCATGCTTGAAACGATTAAAGAGATTTTTAATTTTTCCATTTTTTAAAAACTTGCGATTTTTCGTTTAACTTGGTTTAACTTTTCTCATTTTGTTTGCATTTCCATTTAATCGTCTCTTTGCTGAACTTTTTTCTTTGCTCAATTTCATAGAACTTCTCATTCCAATTGAACCCTGAACTCGATAATCAGATTAGAGATTGGAAAAGATGAATGAGAATTTGCTTCTTTTTTCATCAGAATTATTTGACAAACAAATAAATTTAATTCCGTGAAAAATATCAATCATTTGAGTTGGTGAGAAAAGTGTAAAATAAGTGAAATCATCAATTACTATCAGTTGAAAGGAAAAGTTTCAAAGCTCATGTTAAGAATGATTTAACCTTTTTTGTCGTCTCAAAATTTAATGTTAGTTGATGTCCAAGATTTGCTGACCATTAATCAATTGGAATGAGTTTTTTTCAATCCTTCATTTTACAGACCAAAGACTTAAAAGCCAGGAGCTTCAACATCGACCTGAGAAATCACATTTTATCAATCAATCAACGAGCTCAATTTACTCAAATTCAATTTTCTTGTTACTTTGCATTTAATAATCCATTTATTGGGTTTAATTGTGAATAAAATGAGGCAATAATTGGAAGTTTAATCGAAAGTTTTGCTTTTCTCATCAAAAGTGTCACCAATTGATCTTGTAATGCCTTTGTTGGATAAGAATCCAGGATTTCTTTGATCAATATTTTTCAATCTTTCAGGAAAACTTATAAACCATTGAAAGATTGATAACTAAATGAGCTTATTAATTGAATCTGGTTAACTAATAAACCGATTTCTTTTCAGTCAACGATTCAGTTTTCTTTCTGTTGACAATGTTCATCAAGAATCTTTTACCTTTTTAATTGTCAATCAAACGATTCTCTAAGATTCTTCATAACCATGATCATTGTATTAATAATTATTTCATAATCAATCAAGATTGAAAAAAGTCCATTCCTTTGTATTCATTTGATTGATTAACTTATGAATTATTGATCAATTCAGTTTATTCATTTGTATGCTTTACCATCTTTCTTCTGGTCCGTTGATCACCAGATTAATTGTTTCTCCTAATTGTGCTAATGAACAGAACTATATGCAATCTATTAATAGCAGTTGAGCAAAACTTTGACCAAAACGACACTCAACAAGTATCATACAGAAGAGTTTCAATGATCTGATTTCAATAAACTAACAATGAAGTTGTTTTATAATGCTTGTTCACATTTTAAGCTAACCTTTATGGCATAACTTGGAGTGTTTGCAAGGAAATCGTCTAAATCGTTCTTGCTTGTTTCGTACGTAAGAAACTTTCAACTTTAACTGAATTGCAAAGTTCGCACTTCTTGTTTTGCACAGTCTTTGACTTACAAAAGATCTCTTGGAATATGCTGAAGTGAATAAGTTGAGTTAAAACGCAGAAAGTTTGCTTTAGGCGAACAATTGGACAGAAAATTACGAACATTTTGAAAGTATGAAAGCGTCACATGCAGTTACCGAATATCCACTTCTCAACTCGATCAAATCAATTAGTAAATGCTTCATTCCTAAATCAAGTATGTTGGAAATTAACATTTTAATACTCAATGAAAGGCTTTCA